AATTAAAATTTAATATCTAGAATTTTAAAAATTAGAATTTTGTTTATACAAAAATTACTAATTTTTAATATTTTTTTGTTCAACTAAATATAGAAGACCACTTCATTGAGTCAATATTTTATTAAATATAAAAATGAATTTAATTGACTAAAATTGTAATTTCACCAATTAATTAATTGAAAATAAAATAATATTGCAAAAGCCTTGTTTTTTTTTTTTTTTTAGATTTTTCTTACAAGAGGGAATTTTTGGAATTGTGAAGGGTATTTTAGTAAAAATGAACAAGCGAACAGTGATAAAAATTCTGGATTAATGCGTTCTCTGAATTTTTCTGGCAACCCATCGGAAAACTCTGAATCTCACAGCACCAACGACGAGAAAGACGAAGAAACGAAGATATGGGTATTTTGCACGACGATGTCGTGCTTGTGAGGCCGTCGGAGAAAGACGATGAGCCTACCGTCGTCACTGTCAATTGCCCCGATAAAACTGGGTTAGGCTGTGACTTGTGCCGCATACTTCTCTTCTTTGGTCTAAGCATTGTCAGAGGAGGTGAGTGAATCGTTTAATCACTTCTCTGCTTTGATTTCAGATATCGTGATTGGGTTTTCGTTTTCGTGGTTTAAATCAAACGGGTTGTGGGCGATTTGGGTTTTCTTTTTTAGATTTGATTTGTTTGAATTAGTGATGTGATTGTTTTGTGGATCTTGTGAATTCGTCAATACTGTGTTGAAGATGTTACGACCGACGGAAAATGGTGCTACATAGTGTTTTGGGTGACGGGAAAATCGTCGACGAAGTGGGGATTAGTGAAACAGAGGTTGATTGAGGTTTGCCCTTCTTGTTCCTCAGCTTCGACGCTTTCTTATTTCCGCCCGGAACCGCAACCCTCAAAGCCCCCTGATATGTTTCTTTTGAAGTTTTGTTGCCATGACCGAAGAGGGCTGTTACACGGTTTGTAATTTCCTCCCCGTTATTTCGATTCTATGTTGATTACATGATTGAACTGATCAATTGGGAGTTTGTTCCTTAAATATTGACCTAACCCTCCTCCCCTGAAGAAGGAAAAAGAGAGCTAAGCGTGGGGATACTGTTGTTCTTGTCTTCTTTGTTGGTTCCCTTTTGTGTTGCTTGCCATATTTGTGTCTAATTTGGAGCGAGTGGTTTGTTTGTAGATGTAACATGGGTTCTTTGCGAGCTCGAGATTCTTATAGAGAAAGTGAAAGTGTCGACCACTCCAGATGGAAAAGTGATGGATCTGTTTTTCATCATTGACTCCAGGTTCAAGATTGAGCTTTGTTTATCTGCATTGTGTGTTTCTTGTATTTCTCAATGAATGAATTCATTTTGACCTGTGTGGAACGGATTCTTTGTTCATGAGGGCTAGAGTAGTATAACTTGCATAAATAGTTCAAGTAGTTCACTTGTCCTATAGGCTATCCACAAGGAAAAAGGAAGTGGAGGGCTATCGTAATAGTACGCCTCGGCAGTGGTGTTTGTAGGGTGTTCCTGTTACGGCCCAAGCCCATTGCTAGCAAATATTGTTCTCTTTGGACTTTCCCTTAAAACGCGCCTGCTAGGGAGATGTTTCCCTTATAAAGAATGCTTCGTTCTTCTCTCCAACTGATGTAGGATCTCACAATCCACTCCCTTTCGAGGCCCAACGTCCTCACTGACACTCGTTCCCTTCTCCAATCGATGTGGGACCTCCCAATCCACCTCTCTTTGGGGCCCAACGTCCTTTCTGACACACCGCCTTGTGTCCACCCCCCTCCAGGGCTCAGCCTCCTCGCTAGCACATTGCTCGGTGTCCCTTTGATACCATTTGTAATAGCCCAAGCCCAACACTAGTAGATATTGTCCTCTTTGCACTTTTCTTTTCCAACTTCCCTCAAGGTTTTTAAAACGCGTATGCTAGGGAGAGGTTTCCACACTCTTATAAAGAATGCTTCGTTCTCCTCCCCAACTGATGTGGGATCTCACAATTCTTTCATTGTACGTTAGATTGTCAAAACTCTTGTATGGTCAGCTCTTCTTGAATGAGCTTCCTTTTTACCTCGTTGCTGTCTCCCGTCTCTTTTTCTTTACCTGCAAGCAGTTGGGTGGAAGGTGTTTGGTTTGAAAGTTCTTGAGTGGTGGAACACTTTGTTATTTCAGCAGCAGTATAAGGGAACCCATAGAGGTTGTACATAACATATTTTCATTTTTGTTTGTCCATTAGGGATCTCATGCACACAACGAAGAGACAGCAGGACACGTGCGACCACTTGAAACATGTCTTGGGAGATGCAATGATAAGCTGTGAAATAGAGATGGTCGACGCCGAAGTTATGTTATGCTCACAGGCATCCTCTCTTCCCTCTGAAATTGCAGAAGAATCATGTAGCTTGGAGTTGAATGAAACTTCACAAGGCAGATCATTAGTTCATAAAGATGTCTCTGTTACATTAGACAATTCGCTCAGTCCTTCTCACACACTCGTCCAAATTGTCTGTCAAGATCACAAGGGTCTTATTTACGACATTATGAGGACGCTTAAAGACTACAACATTCAGGTACATAAACATTAAATCATTGAATAGCCATAGTTATTTGAAATATGGGCACACAAATCTGTTGGGTCCGAATCCTTTCGCCGTTTCGTTATTCATGATGAAGGTCAATTTAAAATGTTTTCTTGCACTGCATATCAGTTCAGGTTCTGTTATCAATATTTAAACTCAATCCTGTAGCCAGATCTCATATGGACGCTTCAATAAGAAGCAGACGAGAAGCTGTGAGATCGACTTGTTCATCATGCAAGCTGATGGAAAGAAGATTACAGACCCAAGCAAGCAGAATGCATTGTCAACTCGGTTGCGGATGGAACTGATTCGTCCCCTCAGAGTAGCTATCTTGAGCAGAGGCCCCGACACAGAACTCTTGGTGGCAAACCCCACAGAGTTATCTGGGAAGGGTCGACCTCTCGTGTTCCATGACATCACCCTTGCTCTCAAATTGCTCGACATCGGTGTTTTTTTGGTACGTCCCGATCTTCTTACAATAATTTGCCATCCTTGCAATCTCTGATATATTCCAATAAGTCCAAACTGAATATTCAGAGTCTGAGATATAGCTTTACAAATTTAGTTTTGGTTATGCATCTGGGTTACTCCATGAGCAAATTTTTGCTTTTGGTATACTATATATGATTTCAAAGCTTAACTAGAACAAGATCGATCTTCCAGGCAGAAATCAGACGCCATTTGATCGGAGGTCGAGAATGGGAAGTATACAGAGTCATGCTTGATGAAGGAGTCGGGTCTTCGATTCCCAGGAACAAGATCGAGGACGGAGTCCGAAAGATGTTGATGGGATGGGCATAATGTGATAAATCTAAAGTGGAAAATGCTTTAGTTAGCCTATGTATAGCTTGCTGTTTCAGGTTAGATGGGCTGCTCCTCCTCCTCCTCCTCCTCCTCCTTGTCTTATTGATGCTTGTAACAAGTTATCTTTGTATGCTTATGGGACAGAATCGTGCAAATTATGCTTGTAACAAGTTTCCAGTACACTCCTAGCTTGTGCAAAACCCCCCCTACTATTGCCCAGCGTTAATCCTCATTAAGCCCTCGGGCTCGAATGGAGCAAGACACCGACTTGGAGCGTTGTCCCAAAGAGGGTCATCGTCCAGTGAACTAAACGTGCAATCTTGAATCGTTTGTTACAAATTTAATGACCCTTTTAAATGAACGAAATAACACATCTCCAAATACCCTTTTTTAGTTTAGCTTCTATCATCCATTTCTTATACCACTTTCGTTCTCACACTTCTTTTCTTCCTCTCCGTCCCACATTTATCGTGGGGTTCAGACTCATGTGCCTTCCAAAACAAAAAGTATTTGAGCATGTTGTGTACGATTAGCCAACCTTGAGGTAGTACTACAGTTCCATGTGGCTTGAAGCTGACGTCGCATTAGATTAGGGAGTTAGATGATAAGAACTCCTTTGCATTTAGAAGCGTGTTCACTTAAAACCACTCGATTTAGAAGTGGGCGGTTTTAACTCTTCTTGATTCTACATTATTGCCAAATGGAAAGTGGCTTCACATGTGTGTCTGTAGTTAACCTAGCATCGTGCTTCTAGTAGTACTCTCATCCACTTTCTCCACATTAGGTGTGTATTTATGATTTTAGAACGAAATATGGACAGATTTCTCTTCATTAGCTAAACGTAACCGAAAATAGGAATTATATTCTCTATCATTGTCTCTGCCTCTGACCCTACCTAAATCCTCTACCCGCCTCACCCAATCCCGTGTTTGTCTCTCATTCGAATCCTTACAAGAACAAATTTATAAAACTACAGAGATAAAGCCGAAATAAAAGACGAGAACAAAGATCGTCTCTTCTCTCGATCTCATCTAGAACCGAACAAAACAAAAGAAAAAGTCGGTAAAAATTTATGGACCAGAAAGGATGAATCAAAACAAAAGGGTATGAAGCACATGGTTACAATGAAATGAAACATAAATAATATTATAAGTTATTCCTAGGAAAATGAAATAATGAGTGGACTCAAATATACCACAAAATATGACAATATATTAATGTATTATTTTTCCTTAAATTATTGTCCCCTCGAATCTTTTCTTCAATATCCTTAATCATATATTATATACTTCAAATATTCTCGTATTTTCCTACTCGATATGTTTACTAGTTATTGCAACTCGATAAAATAGGTTAATGGTTGGGTTGAGAACTGGTTCATTCAGGTTATGATCTCGACCAACTTGATCAACCGAGTCCAAATGGTGATACTAAATATTTACTCCAAGAAGATAGGGTTATAATTTAATCGTGCTTGGGTTGATTGCAATGTTCGTCATGTGGGTCCCCCCTTCTTGTCCAATAAACCATCCAACCTAAGATAAGTGGCAGAGAGAGCAGCAAAAACAGAGATAAAAATCCAATCTCCATTTCAATGAAACCCCACCTCCTTAAATATGTATTTAAACACTCACACCCACTGACACTGCATCTTCAAGAACACAGCCTCCTAATTGCTCGCCGGAAAACATGGCCGCCTCTAATCCCTCCACCGTCCACCCCATCTGGTACCAGTTCCTTCTCGGCCGGTGGTTCTCCGTTTTCGCTTCCATTCTCATCATGTCAGTCTCCGGCGCTACCTACATGTTCGGTCTCTACTCCTCCGATATCAAATCCTCCTTAGGCTACGACCAAACCACCCTTAATTTGCTTAGTTTCTTCAAGGATTTAGGCGGCAACGTCGGCGTTATCGGCGGTCTAATCAACGAGGTCGCGCCGCCTTGGGTCGTTCTCCTGATCGGCGCCGTCATGAATCTCTTCGGCTACACCATGATTTGGATGGCTGTAACTAGCCGGATCCCAAAGCCCCAAATCTGGCATATGTGTCTCTACATTTGTATCGGAGCTAATTCTCAGACATTCGCTAACACAGGGGCTCTCGTTACTAGCGTCAAGAACTTCCCGGAAAGTCGCGGCAGCGTTTTGGGCCTTTTGAAGGGCTTTGTCGGGTTGAGCGGCGCCATTTTGACCCAGCTTTACCATGCCTTTTATGGCAACAATTCCAAATCTCTCATCCTTTTAATCGCTTGGCTTCCGGCCGCCGTCTCTGTTACTTTCCTCCGTTTCGTTCGACTCATTAAGGATCTCCGGCAGCCGAATGAGCTCAGAGTCTTCTTCCATATCCTTTATATTTCTCTTGGCCTTGCTGGGTCGTTAATGGTTTTGATTATTCTGCAAAATCGCCTGAAATTTCATCAAATGGAATACGCCGGAAGTGCCATTGTTGTCATTGCTCTGCTTTTACTTCCTCTGGCCATCGTTTACAGAGAGGAATTGAGTGTTTGGAAGACTAAAATCGAAAGCCCACTTTCGCAATTAGAGTTAGCATCTCAACAACAGCCGCCGCCACTGACCTCGGCGGCGCCAGTGGCGCCGCCGAGTCCTCCGTCGGGTTCCTGCTTTGAAAATACATTCAAACCCCCAAACAGAGGAGAGGACTACACAATTCCGCAAGCTGTTTTCAGTATAGATATGATAATCCTCTTCATCGCCACCATCTGCGGCGTCGGTGGAACATTGACAGCGATCGACAATTTGGGTCAAATCGGAGAGTCTTTGAGATACCCATCTCAGAGCACCACCACATTCATCTCTCTCGTCAGCATATGGAATTACCTTGGCCGTGTAGTCGCCGGATTCTTGTCGGAATTTCTCTGGAAAAAATACAAAGTCCCGCGTCCGTTAATTTTCTTCGTAACAATGATTCTATCCTGCGTCGGTCATCTTCTAATCGCATTCGGAGTTCCAAATTCGCTCTATTTTTCTTCAATTATCATCGGATTCTGCTTCGGCGCACAGTGGCCGTTGATTTTCGCAATCATATCGGAAATTTTCGGGCTGAAGTACTACGCAACTCTGTACAACTTGGGGGGAGTGGCGAGCCCGATTGGAGCTTATATACTGAACGTGAGAGTGGCCGGACATTTGTACGACAGAGAGGCAACGCGGCAGATGGAGGCGGCGGGGCGGCGGCGAAATATTGGGGAGGATTTGAATTGCTTGGGAGTGGAATGTTACAGAAAGGCGTTTCTTATAATCACGGCGGCTACTGTTTTAGGGGCGTTTGTTTCGTTGATCTTGGTGGTTCGGACATGGAAGTTTTATAAGGGCGATATTTACCGGAAGTTCAGGGAGGAAGCAGGTGAGGAGGTGGAGGTGCAAATGGCGGCTCCGACGAACAGTGCGGTGGCGAAAAGTCAAACTGCTTAGGGACTTTTATCCACACTGTGTATCATTGTTTAAGGCTCACAAGTTAGTATAGAAAATCTTACTGGTCGCATCAAATTTTCATCTTAAAAAGGGTATTTTAGTCATTTAAATCAAATAGGTGAGTAGTGTAAGGATATTTTAGTCATTTAAACTAAATAGGTGAGTAGTGTAAGGATATTTTAGTCATTTAAACCAACTAGGTGAGTAGTGTAAGGGTATTTTAGTCATTTAAACTAAACAGGTGGGTAGTGTAAGGGTATTTTAGCCATTTATACCGAATAGATGAGTAATGTAAGGGTATTTTAGTCATTTAAACCAAACAAGTGAGTAAATGTAAGGATATTTTAGTCATTTAAACCAAACAGGTCAGTAGTGTAAGGGTATTTTAGTCATTTAAACCAAACAAGTAAATAGTGGAAGGGTATTTTAGTCATTTTATTATGAAAATTCGGGAAAGATTCCAATTCAAACCCTTAAAAAATACTTTTTTTTCTTTCTCTCTAAATTTGGTTTAAAAAAATTAAATTATATCTTTAAATTCTTTCGTCTCATTTTAAGAATCATGCGATAAAAACAACACGGGATTGAGACATAAAACACTCGAGAACCTTGATATCATGATTAAAATCAAAACACGAAAAAAAGTAATCGAAACTCTTTTAATTCTCTTATATTTTTCTGATTAATGTGGTAAAATCCAAAAATAATTTAGGTGGGAAGTCAAATTTATGGATATGGTTGGTTGAAAACAACAAGACATCATTTCAATTATGAACATTACAAATCGACACACCGTGATGATTTAGATAACTTTTTGGACATTTTTTGTGCAATAGAATGAAAAAAAAACAAAATCATTAGGGAAATGAAAAAGGGTTACTTCGGAATTAAACTTCTCTTCATGACCCGTTAATCAAGTAGCACCAATAATGGAGGACGTGAGGCACGAGAACTCTCTTTATTAATCGATACTTGGTTAATAATTAAAGAGTCACGAGACTTTGATTCATTTGGTAGATACATGTATTTGATTGTTCATACATTATTGTAATGATAGTACATGCATTGAGTAGATTCATTATTTAATATTTGATACATGCATAACTACGAAGAATGTTCTAAAAAGTCAGTACAAGGACCATATATGTACATTGGTGGCTTGTTCCCAAAGACCACCGACAATAAAATTGAAGTCTTCTTCATAGGATGACCAGAATCACTTATTTCAACGAACTTGGTGGCTAATTATTTAAACACATAACGTGTAATTACTACAAAATCATTTTCATCACTATAACTATATCATCATCAAATGGGTCCCGTTATATGGGTCTCGTTACAGTTTTCAATCATGGTTTATCATACAAACTATAGAGTTTATAAGTGCATGCATATTCAGTAGGTGTCGAATATGAGTTTCAGACCTTGGTCCAAATGGTGTAGGGATAATTTCCACTCTTAGAATCATTTCAAGACAAGTAGATAACGTAGTCATCCTATAGACATGGAGCATTGATGTTAATGTCCTATAAGACTTTGACATATCAATATAGTCAAACCTAACGGTAAGGATTAAAATTTTTAAAATATATTACTCTAAATTTGAGCGTTGAAGTAATTTAATGTCATATTGAATAAATAGGGTTTATGAAATCATTGAATTTACTTATGACGTCACTTTTATTATTACCTAGTAAATCACGAGAAAAAAAATTATATTTTAGTTTTTTATATTTGAATGTCTTATTCAATTTTTTTTTTTTGATATGTATTACATTATTATCGCCGACATGGCATTTAAAAATAAATAAAAAAGAAGAAAAAGCTGAAAACAAAAATGGGCAATTTGCAAATTGCCCCTTTATTTTCCTGGTATTTAATTTTCATCCGCCTAGGGGTTTGGTGATGAATTTTGGCGGCGACCTTCGCATCTATGGATATACCTATCCATCACAAGGGGGGTTTAAGGCTCACAAACGCGGCTGATACTTTCTAATCATCCTTTGCCTTCCTCTTCGTCTTCTCTGCACTCCATCCATTTCTTCTCGATTATCCGCGTCTTTTTTCTTTCACCCATCTCAGCCCCATCCAGATTTTTGAGCTCTAGAAGAATCCCATCAGCTCCGGCGAGGAAATTATGTCTAAGAAAGGGGCCGCCGGTAGAACACCGGTTTTAAAGGACGCCCCATGGAGGGCTGCTGGCAAACCCACTCCGAAAATCCACCATGCTCCTGTGCTCCGCATTGCCCAATCCCCCTTTTCCAATTACGCTATCTCTGTAATGAAGGCGAGTTCTCTCGTTGTCTTTGTTCTTCTGTTGTTTTTTTTTTTCCTCTCTCTTTCTGGGTTTTGTTTGATTCTTTTGTTGGTTTTGGGGGAAATCTTTCTCTGTTTTTGCAGCATCCTGATCCGATTGGAAGTGGGTTAGCTATGGATGCTATCTTGGAATCGGCTGGGCCGGATTGTATTGTGCCTGGACAGACTGCACCTGTCAAATTACTTGGTCTCAAGGTATCGTTTGTTAATTATAGCCCTTGTTTAATTTGTTTGGATTACTAGGATTTTGATTTCTAGAGGATTTCTTGGTTTTTCTTACTCGAATTTTGTGTTTGAATTTGACTGAATTGATCATGTTAACTACTCTAGTGGCAACCTGATGGTGTCTATGACTTTTGAGGCTATTGAAACGCCTTTTCTTTGAGCTGTTTGGAAGAACTACCAATTAAGCGTTTCTTCCCGAAATGTTTTTCGGTGGTTTTGAAATTTAGAAAAGCTTTTTTGATGTGTAACGAAATGAAGAAAAAAATTTATTCTTAACACACTCAGAATCTTCTATCCTGATACAACAAGTTATCCTGTGCTAAGCATGTTATATCAGAATCTTAGCAGTGACTCTTACCTGTCTTTTCTCTGTCACATGATCATGGTTTCATTATTTACCAGATTTAACTTTATAGCCAAGCTGAGTTTTGTTAATGGTTGGTTAGTGTTTGAATGTTAGAAGGTGGGAGGAGATGGAGGGGTTGAGGAGGCCATGTTTTGTAGTGTGGTGGAATGAGCATTGTTATGAATACAATGCTTCGTTTTCTCAGTGAAAATGTAAACAACAAGTCTGAGTCGAGAAAACTCCGAAGAATCTCAGTTATTGATTGGTAATCCCTAGCTGTCCCTGAGATGAGAGAGATGAAGAATATGATAGACCTCACGTACTCCACATTTACATTAGTGTAACAGTCTAAGTCCACCGCTAGTAGATAGTTTTTTTTAGCCCATTATGTACCGTTGTTAGCTTCATGGTTTTTAAAATGTATCTGCTAGGGAGAGGTTTCCACTCTTATAAGGAATGTTTTGTTCTCCTCTCCAACCGTTGTGGGATCTCACAGTCCACCCCCGTTGGGGGTCCAGCGTCCTCACTGGCACACCGCTTGGTGACTGTCTCTAATACCATTTGTAACAGCCAAAGTCCACCACTAGCAGATATTGTTTGCTTTAGTCCATTACGTATTGCCATTAGCCTCACGGTTTTTAAAACGTGTCTGCTAGGGAGAAGTTTCCACACCCTTATTATAAGGAATGCTTCGTTCCCCACTCCAACCGATGTGAGATCTCACAAATAGGTTCAAGAACAGTACAGTACAGGGTAGGCGGTGTCAAGGGATGGGTAATTGTTGTAGTTGAGGAGTTTCTATAGTGTAATCTCTAATTAGTAGTAACTTTACTTATAGGGTGGATGCCATTAGCATTGCCTTTATCACTGCTAAACTAAATCGTGACTTTGAGTTTATAAGAACTGCTTTTGCTGTGTATTCTGGTCTTTATTATGCTACATGTGGACAGGTTTGGCCCATTGATGTCGATCTTAAGTTTCTCGAGCCCGTTGGTAGAGACCTTAAATTACTTGGAAAGGTAAATTCACATAACTCTTCATATCTGTGTTTCATAAAGGTTCTTGGAAGTATACACATTGATTTTACTTTCGAAAAACATTATCGTCACTGGCCCGAACATGGAGCTGGCCTTGGTTTGGCAAAACCTCCTCAAGAATTAGTGATACCATAAGAATGAGCCATGACCAATATGTAACGGCCCAAGCCCACTGCTAGCAGATATTGTCTTCTTTGGGTTTTCTCTCTCGGGCTTCCCTTCAAAGTTTTTAAAACATGTATGCTAGAGAGAGGTTTCCACACTCTTAAAAAGAATGCTTTGTTCCCCTTTGCAACTGAACGCGGAGCTGGCTTTGGGCAGGCAAAACCTCCTCAAGAATTAGTGATATCACAAGAGTGAGCCATGACCAAACCGCTAGCAGATGTTGTCCTCTTTGGGCTTTATCTCTCGGAGTTTCCCTCAAGGTTTTTAAAACGCGCCTGCTAGAGAGAGATTTCCACACCCTTATAAAGAACGCTTTGTTTCCCTGTCAACCGATGTGGGGATCTCACAATCCACCTCCCTTTGGGGCTTAGCATCCTTGCTGGCACCCACTCCATTCTCCAATCAATATGGGACTCCCAATTCACCTCCCTTGGATTGTGAGATCCCACGCCGGTTGGGGAGAAGAACGAAGCATGTGGAAACGTCTCCCTAGTAGACGATTTCCACACCCTTATAAAGAACGCTTTGTTTCCCTGTCAACCGATGTGGGGATCTCACAATCCACCTCCCTTTGGGGCTTAGCATCCTTGCTGGCACTCACTCCATTCTCCAATCAATATGGGACTCCCAATTCACCTCCCTTGGATTGTGAGATCCCACGCCGGTTGGGGAGAAGAACGAAGCATGTGGAAACGTCTCCCTAGTAGACGCATTTTAAAAACCTTGAGGGAAAAACATATTCTTGGAGCGTAAAATTATGAACGCGAATCGGAAGATTTTTTAAGCTCGAGACGTTAAGGAATCTGAGCTGCAGTTTTGTGCTCATTGTTGTTCCTAAATTCATATTTGGTTTTCCTTTGGTGTGCAGTTTATGGATGATGCGGTGAACCTGATGAACAAGTCATTTATAGATCGGTAGGCGTAGCAGTTGTAATGTAATGGATAAAGAGTTGCATGAAGCTGCTGCAATTTGAGCTAGCTCCGTGAGTGGCTACTTATCCAACTCAACTGCCTCCAAATAATCTCCTTCCCCATCTTTCCGAATTCTCTCATGTAAAAACAGCCTCTGCCCTCCATAAACCGTTTTGTTACTCTCCTTTCTGAAACACAGAGCCAAACCATGTTGATGATAAAGGGATAATTGCAAATAAGTTTCTATACTTACCCTAGTATCATTCACTAGAGTTCCATCCTAGAAAAATCATTGTCCATCCTAGAAAAATCATCGTCATAATGCATCATGACATTTGAGACATGCATATCATCTTAATATGAAACAACGTCATGTAAAGTTATCTCATCATCATATATCTTACATCGTTGTATTATCGATCATATAACGTCATCTTGTCGTCATACATGAGACAATTCTTCCAATCGAACCGATAGTAAGATTGTTAGATTTGGTTTCGTTTCATCTTTCAATATTCATCTCCTGCTGACTTAATACATCAATATCTGAATTGTGGATATTCTAAACAATCTCAAGATAATGCAAAAAGTGATGATGAAACTTTGTTCTTACTTGAATGCCCAAATTGGGTATGGTATCAGAACAGGTTCACATGATCCAAATGGTGAATGGTGGGGTAGGTCTTGGAATTGGAGTCTATCTATTGATCCACCTTGGATTTTCTGGTCACCTTCCCTTTTCATTCCAAAACAAATGTTCTTCCCTGCACTTTTTCCACTATTTTTCCTCTATAAATTCAACTAAAGAGCTTTGAGTCATGATCAGAAATGGCTACTCATTCAGCCCTTCAAACTGAGATACAGCGTAGAGGACCTTGGCTCGAACAGGAAGACAGGCAGCTCACCATGTTTGTAACTCGCATGGGAGAGAGAAAGTGGGACTCGATCGCCAAAGCTTCAGGTATGACTGTTAACTTTTTTCTATCGTAATAGTATGATATTGTCGATTTTGTAAAGTTCTATGTCAAGACTTGTTTATATGTTCGTATCTGAACATTGCAGGGCTTGAGAGAAGTGGGAAGAGCTGTAGATTCAGATGGCTTAACTATCTCCGCCCTAGTCTTAAACGTGATCGCATAAACAGTGAGGAAGAAGAAATCATTCTGAAACTTCATAAGAAATGGGGTAACAAGTATGAACTAAAATAACATCTGGGTGCTAGAAATTTTGCAACTTTATTGCTCTATGATCATCATTATTCAAATATATCTTGTTTTAGATGGTCGAGAATCGCACGATGGCTTCCAGGAAGAACTGATAACGAGATCAAGAACTACTGGAGAAGCCACTTGAGGAAAAAGTTCCCCATTCAACTAGAAGGTTCATGGAAAAATCTACGTTAGTTCTTGATATATTCAATTGCTTTAACCAGTTTCTTTTACAGACTGCAAAGTAAAACATGGGAAACCAGAGAAGCTCTCATTAAGGCATGACCAAAATGAAAGGGACGTTCCCTTATACAATCATTTCGAGTTGTCGAACCTCGAGATCACAAGTTCGCCATACGAAACTCGATTATCAAACTGGATATCGAATCCATTAATGAACGAGAAGCAGGAAGTGAATCATCATGAAGAGTGCAACAACTCAGAATTCTGTTTCTACTATCCAAATATGAACTATGCACGTAGAGATGATCAATCGGACCATTTCTGGGATTCACTCACTCCTCTTTGGGATATCGAGTAACAAATCAAATGTCGTCTAAAGTGCCACTGAAAATAAAATATTCCAAGTTGGAAACTTCAACAATCGACAAACTATAGAACGTAATCATAAAATAAATAAATATATATATTGGTCTTAGGCGTAGCTAGGCACACATGATAATGCAATGGAAAGCAATATGTCACGATAATCTTAAGTTCTTAACGTACAAATTAGGGCATAGGAATTTTAAAGTTAGCATTATGAAACTTCGTCATTTTCACAAGTTTAATTAATTAATTAATGGATTAAGATAATATTAGAGTTCGAGCCAGGTTGGATTAATATTAGACTAATCAAACCAACAATAATACATCATTTACATATTTTAATTCATGACCTACTCACAAGTCACACCTACTTAGTGCTAGACTTTGCTTGTATTTTTTTTTCTTTAAAAAAAAACCATATTTTAACACAAATTAATTCAATATATAATATAAAAAAAAATTGAGTTACGAGCCCATTTAGGATACTGAAGCAATTTTTAAAATAGTTATTTTTAAAATACGGAAGGACTAAATTAAAATATTATGAAAGTATAGGGGTCAAAATGAAATAAAACTCAGAGTTTTAGGTCGGTGATTTTATTTATTTCGTTGGATGAGGGGAATAACAACCGAAAGTTTGACCCGTGTTAATCGTTTTTACATATAAAAAGTCAATAATTATGAAAAAAGGTAATAGAAAGTAGAAACAAAGTTATGAAAAGCCCAAAAAAGATCTTGGAAATTGTTTAAATTAATTAATGAAATTTGAGAATAATTGTTTAATTTTTAAAACAAAAATGATGAAGAAGAAGAGGCTATCCACAACTGAGCAATCAATACCCAAATCATTATCAAATTGATACTCCAAGATATGGACAGTCCCAAAATGAAAATGAAATTCATAGCTTTGAATTTTAATAATGCAATATTTTGTCCAAATTCACACCTCCCCTAAACCCAATATTATATCATTTCTTCAATGCACAATTTTGCTTTTGGATGTATTTGTAGTGAACACAAACAATAAGGTGGTGGACAAGTAGTAGTACGCACCAAAGTCATTAAAAAATAAACGAGGTTCGAAATCGGTTGGGGAGGAGAACGAAGTATTATTTGTAAAGGTGTAGAAATCTCTCTCTAGTAGATGCGTTTTAAAACTATGAGACTGATGACGATATATAACGGGTCAAAGTGGACAATATCTACTAATAATGGGCTTAGACTGTCATTTTCATATACGACAAGTTATGTAATAGAATTTGTTCGATTTTGAAAGTTTAGAGGGAAGAAGATGTTAATGAAGGGTTGGAAATTGAATGGGATGATGCTTTGCTTAGTGATGCTGATGCGCCACACCCTTACGTGCCATGGGCAGCAGGCCACCGCGAGGCCCTCACGCCAAGTATAATCCTCTTATTTCTCTCTACTCTTTCCCTTTCTCTCAGTTTTGTTCTAAAAAAAGATTGAAACTTTCGAATCTTTTTTAAAAAATAACCACAACCCATTTCTTGGAGTAGTGCATAATTGGTGAATTTAGTGTCTTTTTAAAGAATTATGATCTGGAGTTGACGCAAAAAAAGGAGAGAGAAATTAAATTAAAAATCACCCAACCCACGTTGCTCTACATCAGAATTGTCCAATCATTAGGTGGACCATGTAAACATGCGGTGGTGTCATATGTAATACTTAATAACTCCCCGTCTTGTCTTATAGGAAATTACACTCCTATTGGATATTGTCACTTTAACCCGTTTCCATACCCATGTAAAGAAGTGACAATATCGATTGCTAGTGGGCTTAGGTTGAAGTGGGTGGAGTCATTTGGATTGATTTTGGTTTTTATAAACTAAGTTTAGTTGATATGATTAAGACATAATAGGTTGGATTGAGAAAGGGTTAAGAACGTGTTTGATTAGCTAAATTCTATAGTTAGAATGGGTTGGTTAGAAAGAGAAGAAGGAAGGGTTAAAAAAGAGTTACTCGATATTAATGAGGGATTAAGGGAATAGCGCAAATTCTGTGGTTCCAGGCTTGCAAACTAATCCTACAGAAAGGAGTCGTGGGGCAAAAGTAATGGGCGGAGGGGTTTGCTTCAAAGCCAACCGAATCTCACTCCTTTCCTAGCCTCCTCTCACTTACATTGCATCTTCTTCTTCTCCTCCTCTGTTCTATATATATAACTTGCTGTCTCGTCCTTTTCCATATCAGACCTCTTTCTTTGCATCAATGGCGGAAACCCCAGATGAAAATCAAGCCCAATTCATCAAGGGAAAGCGAACCAAACGCACCAGGCCTCCCTCTGTTGCTTCATCTTCCAGCGCTGATTGTTCCAGTTCGTCGGCGGGGCTTACAGAGCAAGAAGAAGAAGATCAAGATTTGGCCAATTGTTTGATTCTTTTGGCGCAGGGGAGAACAGGGGATTGCGCCTCTGTTTTGGTTCAACACAATCAATCTCTGTTTGCTTATCAGTGCAAGACTTGCGATCGTTGTTTTCCTTCTTTTCAAGCCTTGGGTGGACATAGAGCTAGCCATAAGAAACCCAAAATCTCTAATTCTCTTCAAACCCACGACCCTCAATTTCACCTCTCCTTGCAGTTATCCACCGGCCGACCACCGGCCAGTTTCGCCGCCGGTGACCTCGTTAAATCTAAGGTTCATGAGTGTTCCATTTGTGGAGCGGAGTTTTCTTCTGGGCAGGCACTTGGTGGTCATATGAGACGACATAGAGCGTTGACCTCTACGGCGTCGGTGCCGAGTAGAGGTGCTGCTGCTACGCCGCAGTTGCAGGAGTTAATGATTAAGAAAGAGAGAAATGTGTTGGAGTTGGATCTTAACCTTCCGGCGCCTGAGGATGACCGGCACCGGACGGCGGTGTCTGTGTTCTCCGCCGCATCGTCGCTGGTGGATTGTCATTACTGATTGTTTTTTTTTTTTTTTTTTTTTTTTTGGGTATTGTTGCAAAGGTCGCATCATATGCACCAAATTGAACCCCCCCAATCAATTGGGACTTAATTAATTCCCCTGTGGGGTTTGAATTTGATTATTCATTTTATAACCTCCCAACAAAACCAATGTCTTACTCATTTCGAACTTTAATCACTTCAAATTTCACTCAAAAATTACTAAAAACATAGACAATAAACACTATCTTATTCATTAACTAGTACTCAAATTGCCACTCTGAAAAAACAACCATAACATTTTTAATGTTGTAATCGTTGAAGTGCACCAAATTTCTCGTGATCAATTTGTGGGCAAGAAAAAGAAAAAGTGGGTTCGTGGGTTGGACCGTTTTTGTTAACTATAGTGTAAAAAAAACGTGTGAGAGACGGAATTAGAGCTAATCGATTAATAAGCGAAGGGAGAGAGAGGGGATTGATTGATTATTAAAAGGTAAGAAGGGAAAGGGGTGGCAAAGGTAGTGGGAGTGGACTAACTGCCCTTTTTTATGGATCTAACTTTAATACCCAACACACAACAAATCCAATGCCCATCAATTTTAACATTCTTTTTCATCCCAAAATGTCAAACAACAACAACAACAAAAAATGTTATTACTTGAAAAAATGCATGTGTTGGAAAGCGAGCCTGTCTGTGCTTTGTATGCACGGACTTCAGCGTCCGGTGAACAAGGACAATTCTGTGACCTTTTACACCTTTCCTATGATCGAGTTTCCCAACAATCATGAATTTTTTAGAAGGAAATAAAAAATAAAATTATAGAGAGGTTAGCGATTTCACAACTTGGTCCATTTAGTGTTGGCCCAATACGGAGCAGGGCCCAATGAGGCCCAACTTTGAAGTCAAAAGTTGGCCTGCTGGGCCGGTCGACTTTTACGGCTGAAGAAGAAACTATAAATGGCGGTTCCCGGCTTGGATGACGATGGCGGTTACGAGGACGATAATGCTCTCTTTGAAGAGGACGGTGTCATCGAGTTCGATTTCGTTACTCCCACTCACCTCCGCGACCTTGCTAATGACGTCCAGCTCGGCGAATTTAATGGCCTACGCACCTCTCTAGGTTTAACTTCTTCTTTTCCACTTCCTAGAGTTTTCGCTTGAGCTTTCTGGATTGTTCACTATCTTGATTAGGTCGAAATGATTTTTTTCAGTAAATTTGATGCGTTCTCGTCGTGAAAGGAAATGTTTCGATTCAATTTGTAGTGTGCTTCTCGTTATATGTATTTTCGTCATTCTAATACGCAAATTTGGTTGTCTTGAGGAATGCATGTTGAGCGTAATGAAATAGAGTTGGCTACCCCTGTGCAAACTTTACCATGTTTTATATTGAATTTTGTATGATTTGTGGCTTATTTTGAAGTAAATTAATCATATTATAGTTACTGCTGGAAAGAGGGGCAAATTTGAGGTTCAAGATGAAGATGGTGCCATGCCTTTGCATGATGCTTGTGCAGGGGAGTGAGTAGACTGTTATAAATAATTTGCTCGTTTCAATTCAGCAATAAGTATTTGAAAATTTATCTGTTGGAAATGTTGTCAAGTCATTTTCTCTTCTCCAATGACTCTAGGTTTTGTAGAGATTGTTCAACTCCTTCTAAACAGTGCTAATGACAGACTGCGTGAAGAGGATGCTAGAATCAGTTGGTTCTGGAGGTGACACTGTAAGTAGCTGGTTATCTTCGATGTCTAAGTTTTATCTTTTTGGATAAGAAATCTAAGCGTTGTCAAATGCTTGTTAATAGATTGTGGGAAGCCAATCAACCAAATACTTGCAAATTGCAACAACTTGGTTATTATTCCTCCTTGTTGATGCCCAGAGAGTTATTGTTCTTGAAAATGTACATTGGCTTCTTCAACAGTAGGAATACTTGACTCAAAAAGTGTTCGAAATCCTTTTACAAATCACACATGGTAGTGAACAAATTTGATGGAAAAAAAAAAAAAAAAACGAAGTACTAATATTGTTTTAGCATTGTATCTTTAATTCAATGAGGTTGCTATACGTGTACCCGTTTGTTTTACAGTCATGGTGCAGGAGTAGCAATCAATTCCTAGGATGTAACAGCCTAAGCCCACCGCTCGCAAATATTGTCTGTTTTGGCTCGTTACGTAATGTTTCGTTCCTCTCTCAAATCGATGTGAGATCTCACAATTCACCTTCTTGGGGGCGCAACGTTCTCACTGACACACCGCATTTTAAGAACCTTGAGGGGAAATTCGAAAGGGAAAGTCCAAAGAGGACAATATCGGCTAGTGGTGGGCTTGGACTGTTAAAATCTGCTAGTGGTGGGCTTGGACTGTTAAAATCTGCTAATGGTGGGCTTGGACTGTTAAAATCTGCTAGTGGTGGGCTTGGACGGTTAAAATCTGTTAGTGGTGGGTTTGGACTGTTAAAATCTATTAGTGGTGGGTTTGGACTGTTAAAATCTATTAGTGGTGGGCTTGGACTGTTAAAATCTGCTAGTGGTGGGCTTGGACGGTTAAAATCTGCTAGTGGTGGGCTTGGACGGTTAAAATCTGCTAGTGGTGGGCTTGGACTGTTATAAATGGTATCAGAGCCAGACACTGGGCGGTGTGCCAACACCATGTTTTAAAAACCTTGAGGGGAATCCCGAAAGGGAAAATCCAAAGAAGACAATATCTGCTAGTGGTAGGCTTGGGTTATTACCAATGGTATTAGAGCCAGACATCAGGCGGTGTGCCAGCGAGAACGCTAGGCTCCCAAAGGGGGTGGATTGTGAGATCTGACATCGGTTGGAGAGGGGAACAAAACATTTCTTATAAGGGTGTGGAAACCTCTTCCTAATAGACGCGTTTTAAAACCGTGAGGCTGACGGCGATACGTAACAGGCCAAAGCTAGTGGTGGGTTTGGGCGGTTACATATAATCTCATTCCTCTCGAATTGATCTTTTCAACATTACTTGTACAGCTTCTTCGGCATGCTGCAAGAGGTGAGCATGCCGCAGTTATAAGGCTGCCCCTGGCTTCAGGGGCATCTCCCACCAAGGAAAATACATACGGGAGGGTTTGTATTTTCTGTAGATAAGGAAGATCCGTTTGAAATGAGTTTTCAAATACTTAAAAAAATTGTTTGAAGTACTAAAAAAAAGTGTTTTTCCAGTCTGAAACTTTATCCTCTGTCTTGGTTTAACAGGCCCCAACTGAACTAGCCGATTCAGGGACGGAGGCCAGAACGAGTTTGGAAGCTGCCTCAGCTCACATGGCGGTGGGGTATTAGTAGGCTCCATCTTACTGGGTGCTTAAAATGACTTGGGAGTGGTACAGTTTTCTTTGACCTGGTCATACATGTTTATTCTACAACAGAGCTGCAAGATATAATTGAAAATTTGAAAAATTGAGATTCATTGATTGATGTAGAAGATTAAATAATGTCATTGATTGACTTCAAGTTCAACATTGATTCACTTGATACCCATTGTTGGTTGATTTATGAAGCTTGTTGATCAACCTTTAATTTCTTCGTTCGACCAAAAACATGAAATGATTCTTCTAAAAGAATATAATCTCCTTCCATAATCACCACTAGATAATTGCTGGTTGGTAGTGAAACTGATAAAGAGGACAGTAGATGGCTAACCATCAGGCATCCACTTCTTTATGAAGCAAAATTGTGGTTGGGGGAGGAGTTTCCTGTCATTGCCCTTCCAACAAAAAGGGTCCAAGCACTTGCAGTTGCAATTTGGTGGATTTGTTGCTTGTCTATTTTGGTAATTTCATCCCCATTTGCCTCTTTGTCTTTGTATTTCAATCACTTTCACTAACACTATTTATGCTGGGAACCCATTTGAACATAATACAAAAAGACAGAAAATCATTGTGAAGGAAGCTCTCTTTCAAAATTATTAAGAACAAAACACAAAGCCTGAATCAAAGTGGGTTCTTGTTATCTTTTTCAAATCTGTATTGAGTTGTTCCAGAACTGCAACTTCCCAGTTCGAAAACCATGAAATTTAAGCAGTTGTTTGAAGAGAGCAGCCGTGAGATATCGTACGAGCAACGTGTTTGATCCATATGATACAAGCCGAGTTTTGTTAGTATAGATAGGTAGAATACAATGCCATAACAATCCAAAAGGTAAAAGATAGGAAGAAAAACTGGAAGGAACAAAGGAGGTTACTATATTTGATTTTTTTTCTTTTTTTCATGTTTCTTTCAACTCTTAATTACAGTCATTTAGGCAAACAAACAACTCAATGACAAGGAGGAGCAGTAGGAGACATGTACAGGAACTGTCGATAAGGAGAATCGTGCTATCGTATCGACGTTTCCTACTGGAGTTTTTAGAGGCAGCAACTTGCAGTTGGTGCAGGCTGTAATTCTTGCTGCTTCAGAATGTTTCTTTTTACAACAGTGGATCCTTCTTCAATCAGACTAGGAGCCTCCATTATCTGCAACACAAGAGACAACGTTTTTAAGAACGAACGAACGAGGCGTTCGGTTTCTCGAGGGCTACTACTTCAAATTGGTCTGGTAGAAATATACCTTCAATGCCAACTCTTCAAAGCATTTCTCCACATTCTCTCTGGTTTTAGCACTGCATTCAAGAAAAAAGGATCCAAGCTCCTTCGCTAGAGCAATCCCCTCCTCCCTGCTCACAGCCCTTTCAGATTCCTATGAACACACACATCAAGTTCTATCATAAATCTTAGAAGCTTTCCCTAAATGATCATCGAAGGAGCATTACCAACAAATCTTAGGAGAACGATGGTGTAAACACTTAATTTGGGACTGTTTTTTTTAGAACACCAGAGGAAGGAAGAAAGAAACTTACTCTGTCAACCTTATTACCAATAAGCATCTTGACACACTCCTTATTTGTTGAGTATAGTTCCACTTCTTTAGCCCATACGTCCGATAAGTTATCGAACGTTTCTCTCCGTGTTACATCGTACACTACAACAAGATCATAAATACAACACTGTAAACCAGACAGATTGACAGAAGAATCAAACAAAATGTTAATGAACAAAACCAATTGTAACTGCTGTTATAGGTTTGTAGCACAATTCTACTTCCAATCAAACTTATTTCCCCCAACTGATTGTCCTCCGTTTCGACTCGAGTTAAGTGAACATCGAACACCGAACACCCAGATAAATCTTAGCTCAAAAGATAAAGAGATCAAAGTTTGAAGCATACCAAGAATGATCCCTTGTGCACCTCTATAGTAGGAACTTGTCAATGTTCTGAATCTCTCTTGTCCAGCTGCAAGAAACCAAGGCTTAAACAAGATCAAAAGCAATCCATACAAAGGGAGAAGCAAAGGAATTGATATTAAAAACAGTGAAACTATTGAGATTCCTAGGCTTTGTGCAAGCTTTCTTCTACCCACATCTTTTGAAAAGGGAACAAAACAGAAACAATTCTTAGTTCATGAAAAGTTCAGATACAAAATGAACTGAAATCCCTAGAATTTGAACCAAAAAGAACAGATACCAGTGTCCCAGATTGTCAGCTTCAACCTCTTCCCACCCACCTGAAGCAGCTTGATCTTAAAATCCACACCTAAAAACAAACAGTCATTAAAACAAAACAGATCCAAACACAGAAACCAAAAACACAAGAAAGAATAAGAACATGAGAAAGGCATCTCCAATTCATCCCTTTTCCCTCAAATTCCCCACACCCAAACAGATTATGAGCAGAGAAGCATTTCCTCAAACAGGTTATGAGCAGGAAGTTTAAGCAAAAGAAAAAGTGGGGTTTAGTTGGTGTGGCAAAACAAAAAACATACCAATAGTAGGGGCAAGATTTTCAGCACTAGTAGAGATAAAGCTGAGAAGAAGACTACTCTTGCCGACACCTGAATCGCCGATCAACAAAACCTTAAAAGACAGATCGTAGTTGCTACTCTGGCCGGAAGAAGATCCCATTTGGATGATCTTCTTCTTCAGGAATGGAACAGAATTCAGAGAGAGTAGAAAAGGAAAAAGAATTGGAATTATGTTTGATTGTTGCAAGAAAAGAGAAGAATAAGTTCCAAGAAAACGGGGAAGTGAGCAAGCGAGCGAGCACCAGCTGAGACAACAACGTATTTGTTCTTTGCCCTTTCCCTTTTTATTTACCTTTCTTAAGATGTTATGTTTTTGGGGAAATCCATGGTTTTGTCCCAACTCCACTGCCTGGGATTGCTGCTCCAGCAAACTAGTTTCTTCTAAACAAAGCTTTTCCTTGGAATAAAGACTAATTATACCTTTTTCTTTTTTTAATATCCGTTAAATTATAAATTTAGCCTCGAGAATATTTTGAATGATCCTTCCATAGCTGATGAGATAATGGAAGAAAAAAATTAGTATTAGAATTCGGGTTTGGAAACTGAATTCGTCACCTAATGGCTCAACATTTATGTAACTACCCAGATATTGCTCGTTTTGGCCCGTTAACGCATTGTCGTCAGCCTCACGGTTTTAAAACGTGTCTGTTAGGGAGAAGTTTCCATACCCTTATAAGAAATTCTTCGTTCTTCTCTCCAACAGACGTGGGATCTCACAATTTATCTATATGATGTGACCACGTTATCTATTTATCGCTCTTAATCTTAGATATTAAATGAACTAAAATTTATGTAATAAACATGTCACGTCATCATTTAATCTACGTTATGAATGCGATGTTTAGCATGATGGGTGAGGGTGGACCATTTTAGACAGCTAAAAGCAAAGCAAAGCCAACTTTGATCTATTAATTTATTGAGGTGTAGTGGGAATCAGTCATGATTAAGGAAGATCATTATGCATACTCTTGCCCCTTTTTTGCACCATTTTTATATAACGTTATTCACAATACAGGTATATGACCGGTCACTAAAATCATGTTTACACCGGTTAACGTTAAAATGCCCTAAAATGTATTACAGGGAGATGTGACTAGTTGTGAATTCTTCGTACCCAGATTATATGTTATCAAAACAGTTGTTGCTTTTTCGTCTTTAGCCTATAACATTATTTTCGTTAAAATTATTTTTAACGTATTTCCTCGCTCACGTTTTCTAAAATATTTCTCTCAAACATGACTTGAGGCTCAAGCATGTGCTAATATCGTTTACAAAGTTCAAATTTACACAGTCGACTTGTTGGCAAGGTTAGAACAAGTGTCGCATAATCGATGTCTCATTGTCTTATATACTTATATACTTCCGATTTGCAGATATTAAGGAAAAATTAATTAAATATGTATTAAAAAGAAATAAAGAGAAAAAGTTGATTAAATTAAAAATACATGATTACGTGTGTTTAAATCTGAAAACGTGAACCACAAGACAAGTCCACATGAAAATTATTACTAGAGTTCGACAAGGACAAATTCTGGCAATTCTATTTGGCCACGTGGCCTATAAAATACTCTAAAATGTAAATATTTATTTAAATTCATTTATTCATCTTTATTATTTTTTTTTCTAAAAATGTTAATAAATCTCTTAAGGACTAACTTAAACTTTAATATATTATTTAATACTTATTTAATACGTTCCTAAATTTTTTTAATTATATTTCATTAGTCTTAATTTATTGGTAATTTATTTAAAATTTCATAAATTTATTAAATACAAAGGAATCAACTAAAATTAGAAATATATATATATATATATATATATATATTTATTATTATTACTTAATTTCTTTTAATCGCGAGGTGGTGGGCCGTTTAATATTGAAGGTGTAATGTGGAAATGATTATGGGCCTTAGCCCATGAGTGGTCATTCAGACTTCAGGCCCTACAAAGTTTTCATTTCCTTCGATATCATAAACAGGAGGGCTTCTTAGGTCGCCGGAGAAAGGAGAGGGCTTTTTCTCAGTCGGAAATCGAAATTCAGTGAAGAAGCGACACCGGAGTTTGACGGCGATGGATAGAGAGTGGGGGTCCAAGCCGGGAAGTGGAGGAGCGGCCTCTGCACAGAATGAAGCTATCGATCGGAGAGAGCGTCTTCGACGGCTTGCTCTCGAGACCATCGATCTCGCCAAGGATCCCTACTTTATGCGCAATCATCTTGGAAGGTCTTCCTTCTCTTTTTCTCCTTCTAATTTTATGGGTTATTTTGGAAAATTTTGAGTTGAATTGTATTGTTTTTGGTGTGTTTTTGTAGTTATGAGTGTAAGCTTTGCTTGACTCTGCACAATAATGAGGGAAATTACTTGGCGCACACGCAGGGGAAGCGCCATCAGACTAATTTGGCGAAGAGAGCAGCCCGTGAAGCCAAGGAGGCTCCTGCTCAACCTCAACCCCACAAGCGGAAGGTCTCTGTTCGCAAAACAGGTAAGCATTATGCTCCCCCTTTTTAAAAAAATTCCACATTAATTTTGGATGTGAGAGTGAACAATAATTTTATTTTTGCATGTTTGTAATCTTTCTGAAGGGTTGTTGCCAAGCTAATTTTAATTTGCTTTCAGTAGTGAGGATTGATATGAAATGACTTTTGTATTTTCCACCCCTTGCAATTGGATTGATAATGTGCTTGATTTCGCCATTTATTGCAACTTAGAACTATAATGCCATAATGATTTTGTTTGTTCATTTATAACTGAAGTGTGATATCTTGAAAGGGCATTAGAAGGAGCGAGTAGATTTCTGTTTAAATCAAGTAACATAAACATGTATCCAACCGACACCAAGTCAAATAAGAGTTCATGATTGGAATTGGCCATTGTTTCGAAGTGGTTTTGAAATTTTGAAGTGTTGGTTGTAGTCTTAGTTGGATGTATTCATATTTTTTTGGTACTTAAAATGAAGTTTGTGTTAATTATCTCCTTTTCTGGCTTGCTTTCAGTTAAAATTGGGAGGCCTGGTTATCGAGTAACGAAGCAATTTGATTCCGAGACAAAGCAGAGATCTCTGCTTTTCCAAGTATGGCTTTGTAGTTCATACAAAACACCTGTGTGTATCTGTTGAAGATGATATTATTTTGCATTATTCCATTGTGCTGTGTCTGAATTGCCTTGCCCCTTCTTTTACTTGTATACTGTTGCATCATGCAGATTGAATACCCAGAAATTGAAGACCTAGCAAAGCCAAGACACCGGTTTATGTCCTCTTATGAGCAGGTTCTTTGTATAATTGAATAGTACCTAAGTTCCATCATTCATATGCTTTTGAAAACATAATATTTCCTTTTACCACTTCTATCGCTATTGGAATATCCTTTTAAAGCTAATTTTTCTGTCTTTCTTGTTATTATGTTCAGCGGGTGCAACCGTTCGATAAAAGATACCAATATCTTCTGTTTGCAGCTGAACCCTATGAGATAATTGCATTCAAGGTATTTGAGTCATGCTATTTGTAAAAGCTGTTGATCAATGGCTTAGCTCATAGTTCCTAAGGGTCTTTACTTGTATGCATTTTAGGTTCCAAGCACAGAGATTGACAAATCCACACCAAAATTCTTCTCTCACTGGGATCCAGACTCGAAAATGTTCACGGTTAGGTTCTTTTCCTTTCCTTCTTTCAATTTGTTCAATACTTTTTCTATTCATTCACACCCTTAGCCCACTACTTACAGTTCAGCTGTATCTTAGGATTTGATCTATAACTTTTCAATGAATGAATACCTTTTCTTCTGGAACCTATTTAGTTATTGTACCAGTCTATTGTAGCTTGTCTTCGCTGCTGGTCGTTTGAATTATTGATTGAATAGATTGCATCTTGATTCCCCTTTGCATTATTTTGGCTTTGGGCCCCTTTGTGCATGCAGATGTTTGACTAGCTTATTTAGTTGCCATCTCTTCATATGGTTGATCTTTTGTCTCTTCATATTAAAAAATTGACACTCTTTCCATAATACATGTATTCTTGTGTTTAAGGACTCATATTTAACCTTGCAACCAACAGCCTAAATGGCTTCTAGCTTTCCAGCTGCATGTAGGGTATTGTTATTAATGGCACGGTTTACTGTTGTTCTATTTAGTTTTTGGTGTCCAACTTCTCTAACATGGTTTTAGCAAACGTGATAATATGCAGTTGCAGTTGTATTTTAAATCCAAACCACTAGAGGCAAACAAGCCACAAACTGTGCCTGCAGCCAATGGAACGGTGCCATTGCCGCCACCACCACAAGCTCCACCACCGCCCCCACCTCCACCACAGCAAGGGGCACCACCAAGAGTTCCTCCTCCTCCGATGCCTGGATCCTTGCCGCCTCCCCCTCCTGTAATGGCAAATGGTCCTCCTAGGCCAATGCCTCCTGGTGGAGCTCCGCCCATCCCTCCACCGCCTCCAGTTGGTAATAACACAATGGCGAATTTCACTCCTGGTACTCAGATGAATAGACTTCCCATGCCACCTCCCCCACAGGGCTTCCCAGGCCAGGGTGTCCGTCAGCCACCCCCTCCGCCACCCAATATGGGATAGGCCACAGAATATCAGTTAAGTAGAATGGTTTGAGAAGATAATTTGGTACTGGACGATCGACGTTCCGTGGACTTTAATCGTTGGCCTCACTAGTGAAAGTTTGAAGCACTTTTCCGTTGTATCCTCATATTTCGGCATGTAGAATCTTAAGATACCTTGATTGTTGTATCCTTTCAGGCAAAGTAAAAGAATTTTGTTAATTCTATGTCAGAAAAAAAAAACAAAAACAAAAACAAAAATTGTTAATCATCTTTGTTTTCAAGGTGAAGAAATGTTTTGCGTTTGATCTTTTAAAGAAAATGCTCGAGCAACGTTATTTTTTAAGGATACAACTTAAAGTACTTAATGGGCCATTAAAATTATAAAATGCAGGTTTTAACATATGTTTGGAAATTTAATGATTCTCATCAACGATCAGGCTCGCTATTCCACTGAACAATACAACATGTATAGTTTTCGATAAGAGTATTCAAAACACAAATTTAGTGAATTTGAAGGGAAATTTCCCTCCCTTATTTCGTTTTCAGTCAGGTCTTTCTCCAGAAACAGAAGAATAAGGGGAGAGACAAGGTCGTAAAGCTCAACATGAATGCAAGTATAAATTTGAACTCTGAAACAGAGGAACTACAAGAGTTGATGTTAGAACGTGGAAAACAGTAATTAAATAATGTACAAGCATTTGCACGACCTGATGATTGCCATTTTTGTCACCCACCACCCTCCACAAATTCCAACCTGAAGGCTCTCCGATCTTCAATCTCTGATGCATCTGGTGCAGCAGGAAATCTTCCGGGGGAGGAATTGAATTGAAAGGATATGCATATAGATGCCACATTTTTCAGCCTGCGCGAGCATTTTGAGGGAACACTCTCTGGATAATGAACTGAAGAAAACGTTGGGAATAGAATGTAGGATCAACTGAAGAGATGGATATTGAATCAAATTGAAGAGATTTGTATGCATGTTCGATCTTCTTGCTCATGTTGTACTCTTGTAGAATATCAATAATGCCCAGATATAGAACCACGTCGTAGGCCTCGTGAAACATCTGCTTTTCTTCCTTTCCTGGAATTTGCTCTGCTCTTGCTGGCATGTTCACGCCAAGTTGGATTTGGAGTCTGCATAACGGAGTGAGAAGAGTGTCGAGTAAAGGTTAATAATAATAAACCAGAACCTTCTTAGAACTATAATTTTACAACAGGCTCCAAACACTAAAACGTGCTTGAAGATCTATCTCTCTGTCGTCAAGCAAAAATGATGATCAGACAAATTGAATTTTTGAGAGAATCGAATGAAGTGGGCTGTCTTGGTCTTCCGATGTATCCATAATATTACTAGTTAGGGAATGAAAAGTAATACCTTGCAGTACCAGGCAACAGAAGATCCACTTCCCCATCCCCAGCAGCAGATGATGCTCGCAAACGGCTGCCTCTTATGTGGGAGCCGACAACAACACTGTCATCGTCTATGCGAGGTACTAAAACAAGACCTTGTGGGTAGGTTGATATGTCCTCGAAAGGATCTGCCATTCAATATTAGCAGCTAATTGTGTTAAGTACTTCAATTCAAATCAATCAAAAGACCAACCAACTGGGCCACTGGCTATACACAAAATTATACTCAAATATAATAATGAGAAGTTTATGAAGTTGAAGTATGACACCGCACAAAATGCATGACAGGAATGCTAGATAACCACAAGTATCGAGGTAGGTAGATTCTTCCAATCTTAAGCTCATTCCCAAGAGAGAAACGAAAAATGATCTTAGGCTGGATAATCGGCAAGTTACTGTAATTGAATTGACATACGAGTCTTCCATCAATATCAAACTCATGTTCAAGTTGAGTCATGGCATATCAAAAGCCACAACTAGTGGAGATAAGAATAGTACTAGTGGAGATAAGAATAGTATAACTTTAATATTCATAATTTCATATGAAAATGAAAAGTATTTGTCAAACTTTGCAAATTATCTCAGTCCATCAACAAACTTGCTTACCAAGCATTATACAGGCAAACAGAATAACAAAATTCTAGAATGTGGAGCTTCACATTCATAACCACTTGATTTTGAATCTTAGAATACCAACTGCTGGCATCACTTTAAAATAAGGAATCTTCAGTTTGTGATTTCTCCAACCCGTGTAAATTTAACCGTATAAGCCATTTAGTCTATTCTGTTATGAATTATATCCTGTTTACAATTTGAAGTCTGACCGATTATAGACGATAACTAGAACTATTAAAAGATACATATGTTCTCATTAGATACTAACCATCCTCCGCAAGAATTCCCAATCCATCAGCCCTCATGCTCCGGTTGTAGGATAAATGGGATTGCGGCTGCTGTGGGGCACGATAATGAACACCCAACAAAAGGCTATAGTCCATGATATTCTGCACTTCTAGGAATTTACTGTCAATCTCAATCTGCCTGCATTGAAGAGAACATGAGATGTAAGAATAGGACGTGTTTATATGTCCTTCAATGTTGAAAAATGCTCGTTCAGCAATAGTTGTGCAGAGGCTAGCATTAATTCAATACAGGTACTGCTGTGCGTCAACTAACATGCTTGCAAGAAAAAATAATTCTATGACATACTAATGTTTAGTCTAGTATGTTTGCTTAGATGAAGATAGCCTTAGAAGAAATAGAGGATAATTCAAGTACGACTTACTTTAATAAAGCCTCTCGCCAAGTAGGTTCCAAATAAAAGGAGTAGTTCAAATCTAAATCCTTGAGTATAGTGTTTTCATCTATTTCAACTTTGTCTGCTGAACGTCCAAGGGAAGAACCCTTCAAATCAAATCTCCGATGAATTCTCAACTCTGTGCAGAACATATTTCCCATTACTACAAAGCGAAACTGCACAAAAATAAAATTTTAGCTGATGAACATTAGTTGGTTGAAGTTGTTATTTAGTGATTTGAATTACAAAGCAAGTTTGAAGAACAACATTAGAAGTCACACGGAAACTATAAGGTCAGAAATCACAAACAATATACTGATATTATAATTTTCTAACAATAGTTTAAAGCCTGTGAACATCTAAAATGCATCATATGTGGAAGAACCGAAGAATGCCAAGACCAAGACAAAAGCTCCAAGTTTTGGTGCTTAATACCTTCTGACCGCTGGCTGGTTTGATTCTATGAAGACCAAAAAATTTTGTTATAAGTGTATTCTCATATGACCTCACATGATGATGATAATCTGGAAGCATCCGTAGAAGCACCTATAGCAGAACATGCATAGGTGTGTTATTTGCATATAGGAGAATAAAAACACATGGAAAATTTGTCCACTGCAGTGTAATCTGGCAAACTTTGTTAAAAAAGCTAGAGAACTATGAGGATTATTCAGCATAATAGTTTCTTTTTCTCCCTTTTCTAAAAGCACGTGATGAGGTTGTGGTAGTTTCTTGACGTTGCTCAGAGAAAGTTACAATTTCTATATGAAAATTTAATCGTTGCATGTACGGGTGTATCACAATTTGACTGCTTAGACGTTGCAAGTAGAGATGAACACACCTTAACTTCTGATTTTCGGAGTGTTTTAATCATGAAACGATCATCTTGGGACAGAAAGAAGACACTACCACTCTTCCCAGGTGAAGATAGCTCTCTAAGAGCATCATTTCCGCAGATGGACATCATGTAGTCAGCAGCATCAATCTTAAACATCTCCCTCAGGTTCCTATAATGAATTTTTATGAGGGCTAGAATCAAGAGGATGCAAATGAAGAATGCATTCCAGTATTATTTTGCACATCTCTTCCTTTTCAGAACTGCAGTTTTTCTCTCTTGCAACCTTAGTAAATGGAAGTCATTGCACAGAGAAACTAAGGGACTAATCAAGTACATTCCCCTATCCCAAAACCAGACAGAATTTAATAAAACTTTGATCTTCCACACAAAGAAAAAGAACTGCATTATAACAAGCATGTAAGAAAAATAAGTTGACAGAAAGGACTAAAAAGATGACCATCCTTCCTAAATTATCTGCATACAATTGCTAACTAAAATATATTGGATACTCCCGTCCATAAACAGAAGAAAATAGATTTTTTTAAAAAAAGTTTGTTTTGAAACATGTCAAACTAAACATTCTTGAAAAAAACTATCAAGAAAGAATCTTTCCTGAAAAAATACTGCATCCCACGACTTAGCATATGAATGGATCAATGAATGAGGATGTATAGAAAAATGTTTTGCGCTATGGCTCTGCATAAATAAATGAACCAATGTATGAATGAACAGTGTACATAAAATGTTGTAAAGACTAGTATATAACCTGAAGACCATTGGACAATAATCTTTCCATTTAAAATCTTCGGATTGATGAGGTGGAGTCAACTGGGAACCTTCTTTAGGGAAAGTCATCCAAAAGCTTGCTCGAGGACCAAAGTCTGAACTCCTGACTTCTCGCCTTTGCACGGGTGTAATTTTTCCCACAGTATATCTGACCACATTCTAATGTATGTTCAACATTAACTTCTCAAAATTGTTAAAGGGATAAAGACCAGAGAATGCCCATGTTTTAGCTATCATAGATAAAGAAAGATAATAACAAATCAACAATTAAGGCATTTTCACGGGCATGAATAATGCAGTAGGAACTAGAAAGCAAACAAGAACTTTGAGTTGAAGAACGAAAAGTACACTAGAATGTATCATCCTTGATCCCATAAGTGGCCGGTTTTAGAATTTAAGCCCGTCCCTATTTAGTCCCTTTTCTTCATGAATATGTATTCCCTGGTAATATTATTTTTAAGACGGTGTGTCTAAATCTAAATGATACTTGTGATTACTACCTCCATACCGACGAAAGAGGTTAATATAATATAATTATCAAAATCCAGGCACAAGCAGCAAACGTAGAAAATGAAATAAATGTTGGATACTTTTAAAAGAAACACAATGGGAATTTTTTTTTGTTAATGTAGCTAAATGGGCATACCTGATTCCGAGTTGTAAACTGAGCATCAAATCGTAACTCCTATGACCTTTAATGATCATCTCACCTGGTTTATTAACCTCTTTGACCAGCTTTTTCTGTCTTCGTCTTGCTCTTCTTGATGATGGTGAGGAAAAACTATTATCTATAACAAGTTCACTAATAAGTACACCTTGCATATACTCGCGTTCCAAAATTGGGATTTTTGTATCTACTACATTTCCACCCATTTCATAGTCTGAAAGTC